AGCTTTGACCACGCGTTGAGAGATTCTCTCACCCACACGTCCGCCAGCCATTATGCAACTCCCGAGGTAGATCAAGCTTTCCATTACTTCCAGGGTGTCATTATCCAACGAAATGGGTTCCTTCCAAACTTGCAACTGCGCTTTGAATCGTTGGTGCGTTGTTATCGAGTAAGACAATATCTACAACTCTGTCTCCAGGACGAAGATCGAAACCAGCGTTCGTTACGTTATGTAAAGCGTTTTGTAGAACATTATCTATGGCAAAGTTGAAGAGAAACGGAGATACAGGACAACCCTGTCGCACCCCACTGGTGACAGAAAATGAGCATGAAAGAGCACCATAGGCCCTAACCTTCCCCGAGATCTAGTGATAGAGTGCTTTTAGGAATGAGACATACTTCTCGGGTACTCCGTATCTCCGCAAACAGTTCCACAGTACAGGATGATCGATAGAGCTGAAAACCCCTCTGATGTCTAAAAACGCGATAATGGTTTACCGTCTGTATGCGTGGTGGTGTTCTGGTAGTTGACGGAAGGTGAAGATCTGATATATACAGCCACGGCGTGCACGAAACCCGGCCTGCTCCTCGCGGATTTGCTTCACACGGAATGGGCATAACCTGCATTATAAAACGGACGCCAGTGGCTTCGGCGCTATTGTAATCAGACTTATGCCCTTGTGGTTGGAACAGGCGTTGCGACAGCCCTTCTTGTAGATGGATATGACAATCGATTCTCCCCATGCGTGGGGTACACTTTTGGTTTCCCAGATATTCGAGAACAGTCCCGTTACTCCGATACCGAAAAAATGACTATACCTTTTTTTTAATTTAAGATGTCCGAATATCAATTTAAGATGTCATGTTGCTATGTGGATAGTACAGTGGGATTGCTCTATCGTTTCACATTGTCTTATCCCTCTCTCCCTTGAACTAGAAAAAGTAAATTTCCTCTAACCCTCTCTGCGATCTGATTGGATCATTTTCCGCCATTTGCGGCACTTGGAATCCCTCAACCAGACACGAGACTGTCTGATAACCGGCTTGTACGTTTTGTGATGCTCTCGTTGTCATGACCAGTTCATCCGTGTAGTGATGACATTGCTGTTGTACAGTCAAAGTTCATTGGGCTTGCTAAAGACTCGTGACTGTAGACAAGGTGTGGTTTCTCGCTCGGGTTAGCTGGGCAAGCACCAGGTCCTTTGTAGCGGCTGGACCATCCGACCGATCGATAAATGAACCTGATCCGATGGACTATGATCAACCCCCTATATACCGCATGTTTCTCCCTTTGTCATTCCACTTTTGGCTGGCCCTACTAATAAAGACTCACACTGTTTGCAGCTGTCTTTTAACTGAGATCGTTGGGATACGCATTGTGGGACCAGGTTCGGTGATAGTTTGGCAAGACACAATAGCTGGAATATATGAAAAACTTAAATGTTACACAAGGATTGTTGACGTTAATTATCTCACCGGAATGCTTGAAAAGCTGTGTGTTTGGATTGATGCATTGTCCACGGTGTTTTGATGATCGTGGCTCAGTTTATTGTTTCGTTCCACAAAACAGACCCACTTCGGTCACACACACATGCTTATTTTGCACGCATTACGATGTTGGCAGTGATCAGCAAAAATTGCCTTACTAGTTATAATGTCCAGTGTTGAGACTAATGATAGTCATGCCGACGATAAGAATGATGATGTTATCGATAAGTTTGATGACGAATTGCCCATACGGTCGATTTATTTCATAATTTCCATAGGTTTTGTATGCTAGTAACTAGGAGCGAGTGAGTTTCCGAGAGAGAACAATTATTGAATGAATAAGCGTAATGTTGTTGTTTCACGTTAGCGGAGTAATCAATTCATAACATTGAGGTAGATGAATGCCATGCGACTGACTTTGTCGTCAGCATCAACACCAGTCCGGACAGAAAACGTTCGCTAGAAAACAAACGATTCTCTGATCGTCCGGCGTAGTCGCATCACAGTTATCTGTCGAAGCGTAAAGTGATTTACTACTCCGGGTAGCAGTTCTACCATCTGCAACGTCATAGACACCGTGCAACTAAGTTCACAATCCACATGGGCTTTCTATCCGGTCATATTTTGCAACCGCAGTTATTCGCAACTGGATGAAGATACTTTTAGTTACATTGTCTAAATTATTGGCACTTATATGTGCTTTGGTCAAAGTGTTTCATAGTTGACGCTCACCAATCAACTTGAGTTGAAGTGGATGTGGTAAAGAAAGGATTGTGCAATAAAATTGAAGCGGTAGGTAATCCCACCCTCGCCCAAATTACTCACACACCTGATCGGTTAAACTCTTTTCGGGTTTCCCATGATAAGTCCCGGAGTTTCGGTTCCCTTAACTCTTCGTGATCATCGGTGTCACTCTCAATCGGCTGTTCATACCATTCAGATATGAGTATGCATTTGGATCCACTGAGTGCAGTGAAGTCATTCGCTAAACTCTTTCACTTTTCTGATCAGTATCAGTTTATTGTGCGCAGTGACGAAAGTTTGTTCCCTAGCATCCTACAACAGGAGACGGAAGTGTGAGTAATGTTATTTGGTTTCTCTCTTGTAAATCGATCAATAAATATCTCAGTTTCAGTGGGAGAGTTCGCGGCTAATTTCAAAACTTTCATTTGTTTCCTTAATGTACATGAATTAATCAATTTTACGCGTATTTGAGTTGAAAGTGAATAGTGATCTTTCTAATGCGTCATCTTCTCTCTATTTTACTGACTGTATGAATACATGGTCAACTTTCACGAAATAAGACTGTCAACATACAAAGACTGCTGGGGGAAGATCGATTGTAGTGGCGGGATTCGAACTCAGGACGTCGAAATTACTGTTCAAATAACCTTCATCGTTTGACAAGCATCTTGTTAAAATTAGTATTCAAAGACATGCACAATTCATGCCTAATGAGTGTAATCTGTAAAAAAAATGATGAGCTCGAAAAGCGTATCAGGCGGTCTGACGGATTTTTCTGGTTGAAATCACGTGCAGAAATCATACCGGTTAGTGAAAAGCAAAAAAAGAGAATGCAATTCCATTCAACACAAACTTTCAGGGAGGCAGGTACACGGAACAGACCTACCTTTCCTGGAATATACACTGCTACTTTTGTGACACTCACTCTGTTCGCATGACGTTCATAGATCCCGTGCAAACGTCTCACTTCCAGGCGCAACAAATTCTGTTCAACCAGTAGACGATGCAGCACGGTTTCCATTTTCGCTTTTTCCCGCGTGGCAATATCCACTTCTAGCTCGTTCGTTTTCATTCGATTTTCCACGTTGTTGTGTCTCTCTTGCAGTGTGCTGGCCTCTTTCTTCACACGATACACTTCACCCTGGAAAAGAAAAGAATTCAGCCGTTGTAAAACAGAATAAATCGAAATTTTCACGAAGACTTGACAAGCGTTTATGTATACGTTCCGGTTGTGAACCAATCAGTTGTTAAACCTGTCATCAGGCTAAGTCACTGTGTCGACGGGATGAGACCGGTGTGTAGGGGGACCAGAAGGTCTCACTTAACCACCAAGCCTTCACAAACAGGTGGATATTGCACCGACCCTGGAATTCTGTAACATTGCCCAAAATAAGGTAAATTGTCTTTATTCTTGACGAGGTTTTATCCCAAAACCATGCATAGGGAAAATTATATAAAAATGCATGGTAGTGCCTCCAACCACCACCGAAGGTGACCTCGAAGATTCCAACTTGTAGGCACATGCTTAAACCCATTGGTCAAGGGTTTGATAACTTATATGCCGCTGTCCCGGTCTGGCCTACCTTGAACAACTTCGGACCGTTACCAACCTTAGCAAATACCGATCGCCAAGGAAGGCTATAAATGGTGGGATGCTGACAAATAACCTATAGGCCAATACTATACGAATGATACCACCGAATGGGTGGAAGAAACTGACCTCTTCTGAATCTTCAATCAAGAAAATGTTTATCAAAATTTAGGTAGAAATTACATATAGATTTAATAAATATTGAAAGAATTTACAATTTTGGATACAATATATAAGGGCTTAAATGCTTACAAGTCCTCACCCTTTACAATACCGCAGTGAGATTGCTGGCAAGTGGATCTGACTAAGCAACCTCATACGGAGTTTTTAGAGAATCTTTCTCGTAAACATTACTTTTGTTCTTTTTAGAGAAATAATTCACATTGAGTGAAAACTTCTTTCTAATTGAACTGGCTCACAGAATGTACATATTGTGGACAGTACATACACGAGGACGTTCGGACAGGGCTGCAATATATAACTTGACAGTAGAAGAAACTAAATATTTATTGAAAACTAGTTCATCTTCATGAGCACGTCCTCAATTACCAAACAGTAGAAGCGATTATTCCTTTCAACCCCAACGATGGGAGTTATTTTCGTGAGGTTATGCATTGTACGCAAAAACCGAGTCGAAATCTACTATAGAACCAGCGGGAAGCTGGTCAAACCGGTTTTCGATACTGCACAACCGATCTTTGCTAGCTACTTTCGGACATCACATCGTGTCATTTTCCCAGACAAATGTCCAGGGTCATCATTCTGTTGGAAAAATGCCGAACCTGACTACTTGGTGCATAACAGCATTGGATAATTTGATTCGAATAAACGGTGGTCAAGTGGGTAGTGCGCTTGCGTTCTATCCGTGACATCCCACGTTCGATCCTCAGTTGGATAGATGGATTCGTAATGGTGGAATGAGACCCAACCAGGTGTAGGATGTTTCCTACTTTCTATCTTCATGCTTCTTTTGCTCTGTACACGCGACAAACTTCAACCTATAATGAAACTAAATCATCTAGTAAATCTCCAGTAAAAAATCACTATCACATAGACAATCATTATACATTGGTGACTGTTCCGTCGCTGAGCCTATTTGGTAATCCTAGCCTACGGGATAACGCCAGCCACGGATCAACGCGTTTCAATTTTTGAACAATGAACCACAGGCTGATTGTGCCGACCAATCAGAAGTTGTGCGGTACAGACAGAAGCTGTATGATATCAAGAATACGACCACGCGATTGGTGGATAACTGGATAACCAACAAATTTCCTTTTTACATTTAATTCAATCCCCTTGATTTCTTTCAGTAAATGAACTGCTACTTTTGTGCTCTTTTTCCTTGCGTCTCGATTACGTGAGATACCAGTGTGCAAGTATCAGTGTGATTCAGTGTTTCCGTTGCGTCCGTGATTCTTGATTCGTAATTCGTGATCTGTGTCTACTTCAGTATACTACCGATAAAACCGGAAAATATTCATTACACTCGATAGTCCAAACTGTTTGGTTCCGATGCTACAAGGGATAGATAGAAAGAATGAACTCGAATAAATATCTAGCAGCAAATGCACGACCAATAAGGCAACATTGAATCTCTGATTGATACATGGGTTAGTTTCAGTAAGGAATTTTGTAAAATGATATACAGTAATGATCCAATTACATATCTATAACTGAATACCAGATAGAAAAAACAGAAGGACATCGTATCCATGCATATTCGATAAGATAGTTTAGCAAAATGCGCAACTCACTTTTAGGCTGCTCAGTTCATTTGTGAGAATGGTAACCGTCTTCGTGCGCTGTTCCAAATCCGCGTTAAGTTGACGCACCTGTTCCTCCAGGGCCGTTTTCTCCTCTTCATTCTGCTCACCCCGCATGCGACTGATACGTCTCTCCAGTTGTTGCAAATGGAAATCCTGTGTGTGTGTTCGGATAATGATGAGAATGGGCAGATGAACACAAAGAGCTCATGTACAGTCAAAATAAGAAAACTCCACCACACAGATTACTCATTGAATGCATATAGTTTTCGTGTTCTACTGATACAACAACTAATTCCGCCATTTCCCAAGGCGGTTTTGGTTCCTGCCTTTGGTTTACCCATTCGGATGAGACAGTGGATGGAAGATTAGAATACTGAGAGTAGCTTCATTGTGAATAGGAAGAATTCTGGTAGATTAACTATGTAAAGAGAGTAAATAGATGCGCGAACTCCGCTGTTTACAACACTCACCCAAATCACTTATTGTGTCCAGCCACCGAATACACTAATCCCGAGGCTTCCATTGAAGAAGCCTAACGCGACCTATACAACCGAATCCCCTGGTTGGAACTTTCATAACCCGCATTCCGGGTCCCGGTTTTACCATTCTTGATTCATCTTCTCACTTATTACCTGCCTAGACAAACAACGCAAGCCAAGTGTGATGCGCAACACACCTTGCCAACGTAGTCCATAAAGCTCTGGGTATCCACGATTGCGCGTTTACCCTCATTATTGCTTGTTCGGTACCAGTGATGGTTCCGTTAATGAAAATCAGCTCGTTCACTCGCCCAATAGGTCCCCGCGACAAAGAATACCGGTCTCCACTCCACTTCACTTAGCAGTGTTGAGACATTCATCCCCTTTGCATACTTCTGTCTGCTCGATTTCCATACTCACAAACTGTCTTTAATCCGTCACAGTTAAAACCCTGCACGATATTATTCCCTGTTGTTTCCCACACTTGTAACTTGAGGTGTCGACCACTCCCAGAGCTTCGCTTGATAGCAATCGATTATCTGAGGACTGTGTACTGATCGTCGCACAGTCGTCTTGGTGCACTTCTCAACCAGAAGGGACACATTTATGTTTCAGGACTGATGTTTCAGGCAAGTAGCTCTCTCCGACCAGGCACTGCAGTTTTGTAACTATAGCAATGGAAGACAGTGCTTACCTCTTTATAAATCACTTCTTGATGCCGTAATAGTTGGGCGTCCAATTTGGCCAGCTTTGAATTCAACATTCGTAACGAAGCACGTGCGCCTTCAAATTGTTGTTCCAGAATTTTCGATTTGCTTTTCAACTCTTCAAATTGCTGTTGTGTGATATGGGAGCAAGAGAGAGAGACAGAGAGCAAAAGCCAACCGCATCAAGTTTAGACTGTAAGTAACTTATTCACTCACGTGACTGGGTTGTAAAAGCACGATAAAATATGAGCACAGATTCACCAACAATACCGATACCGTAGAATAATTATTCATTTGATGGTGACTGATTTCGTCTGTTGATGTTATCAATGGTCGAAAAAATTGCATATCCTTGAATCTGTCAATCACGAACAATCGGCTGTGCTGTAATTCCCAAAATTCCGTTGAATTCAAATTTGATCAACGCCTAACAAAAGCTGGATGAATTGATAGTCCAGAAAAGAAGCAAACGTCCCTTTACGGTATAAGCAATTTGGGGTGAATTGGGAATAATATTTCATCTCTTTGCAATGATGGTCTCCGCAGTCACCTCCACAAGTGTTGGATAGGCTGCCGAACATTCGGACTGACGTTTCATTTAGCTTTGTTTTGTTCGTGATCAGTTTGTACTGTTTTTAAAACTAAAGCACTCATACAAATACACACAGAGTTGAAGTTGATTAACTTTCCACCTCTTTTGATTGTCCAATGTGCCGAATGGATGTGACTTCATTTAGGAATCCGTTAATCGAATTATATGCATACTTAATGTTAAACGCATTTGGAGTGTGGCGTTCATAAAGGTCCGCATATGCGAGGCACTCGTGTTAGGAAACAAAGTGCCCATACATGGACTGTCCCACTGAGAGCATTCATCAGTAAGATGTCCGTCTATTGCAAATAGATAAGATATAATCGGTGCCTAAACACAGCCAGCTCTGATCGAAAATCACGTACAATCAATGCAGTATAAGTGTTGCATTATTAGATGTACACAATATGCCATGGATAAACCCCGAGGAAAAAATGAATACTGTAAAAGAATAACAGATTAGGAATACATTTTACGATAGATCTGTTTGTTCAAAGGTGCATCAAGCAAAACTGTGTAATTTGACCCTAACTGGGATAAAATTAGGTCTTCTATAAACATAAATAAAACAATTTGTCATACCTATCTTATCTTAACTATTCCACATAGATGTAGACATCATGAAGATCTCAGCCAGTTCCGGAGTTGTGAATCAAGTTATTGTTAGACATCTTAAAAGTTGAGTTTTGGGAAGTGCCGCATTATTTGCATGTACATGAAAATGTCTTTTTACTTCCTTGTTTTATTTATTGAATATGCCAATGTACATTCAACATTCAGGAAGAGGCTGTCTGGGAAAATACAGGAACGGGGGAGACGGGCGGCGGCGGTGGAGCGATTCTGACCAGGGACCACAAGGCACAACTTCGTGCTCTATCCACTTGGCCACCACCAATAGGATCATATCTATCTGCGGTGCTTTATTACTCACCTGTGTCACCTTGAATCGAGTTTCACGCAACTGATTCAAATACTTGGCCAACGCCTCGTAGTTGGATTCGTCAGCCAACAGACGGGCGTCCGCCTCTTGGGCCAGTTGTTCAACAGTCAATTTGCTTTGGGTCACATAGTCCAGTTTCTCGGTTAGGTCTGCAGACAGTTGTTGAAGTGCTGCAAGCCTAAAATAAGTGAACAGAAATCTCGGTATCAAGTTGAGCTCATGATTTTTCTGGCAGACGGTTTCATATGTTTCTTTCATAGTTAGATTCAGCCAACCGGTGGTGCATAGTGAATCAATGTCAATATAAACAGGACGTAAAACAGTGAACCACAACATAACATCAATATAAGTAACAAATATTCGAAATTGCGTTCAGTTAAACAACAACTAGCCGTGAATTTTCATGTGGCAGTTGCCCTTTGGTTGCCCGTTTACGTTCAATAAACATAAATATGCTATTTTTCACACCTCCCCCAGCCACTCGAAAATAATTGCCTACTGTTCTGTTCTGTGCTTTACAATACATGGTTACTTTGGCGTTGTACCGGTCAAGGTTGATAGATATATATGAGTAAGTTCATTGCTGAATTCAAATTTAATCTTGCCACAGATCGCGGAATATGATCCAATTAGATCACAGAAAGGGTCAGAGGAAATCTACTTATATAAGGTCACGCGTGAGAGGGACGAGACGATCTGAAATGATGGAGCAATCGCACTGTATTGCAGCATCATGCGATGGAGGTAAGCAATGGTTCAAGCGTTGAATGCGCATGATTCACTGGTATCAGCGGAGGAGGACACACACAGAGGCGTACGCGTACCAGAAGAATAAACAACCGATATCTATTTCATGGGAATTGAGTTGTATGTGTGACCGAAGCCCTTCTCATAATCGTTCCCCGCGCTTCAACAGGAGGTAGAAAAATCGGTGCTGCATGGTGGTCATCCAGATGTCGCTGGGAAGCGTGTCAGCACCGGTGAGGTCAGCGACAGCTTGAACTGATGCGAGGACATCTTGAAATTATACTAAGACAACTTGAAATGATGACCAGACATCTTGATATGCTATTGGGACAACTTGAATTGCAAAAGGTATAGTTCAACTCTCCCCAAACAATCGAGGAAAAACAAATTACTTCTGAGTCTTTTGCAATTTTTCTTTCTTCAGTTGGGACGTTTTTGTTCGTATCGATTCCAGTTCACTCGCCATCTTATCCACAGTTCGTTTCAACGCTTCCAGCTGAAACCGGAGGTAAAAATGCAAAATAAACGATTATACTTTCATTTAGAGATTGCGGTCGTGTACAGCAGCATTTTTGTGGTTATTCTACCTGAGCAATGAATAGGATGGTGGCCAATTTTCAAAATTGAAATCATAACAAAGTGTCAGATGAAAAACAAAATTTTTCCTGAAATATGACACGAACAAGTGGGATCCGTGTGCTAATACGCTTAGATATCTGTAACAGGAGAATGTGTTTTACTTGCTCAAACTGATTTTTTTTCATTAATTTGAATAGTGTGAATGAGTAGACAAACCTCTGTTTTCCTGAATGACAGTTGCACGTCAATCATGATCGTGTTGATACTGTAAATATGAAACGGTTTCTCGCTTTTAATCTCTTCCATAAATTTACTGCATGCTATTGAGTACCGTAAACCCTTGGAAGGAAGAACATTCCCTGGAGAGTTGCTTGATTTGTAACAGGTGAAATTACCAAATGGCCCTAGCCGAGGTGGAGTGTAAGACGGAATGTTGTTACTTATCCAGTTGGTACACCACCTCCACCTCCACACCTCCATTGTACCCAAACGAATAAGGATCAATATATATATGGAAAAACAATGTGGCATGTGGTATGTTGAAACAGTGAAGTGTAATTGTCAATAACACAATGTTTCCAGCCGGTGTGAGCACGAAACGATGTTTTGGCTACCGCGAATAACCTTTATCCGGCTGAATTTTTAATGGATCCCGTGATTGGCACCAGTTCATTATGGAGAATGGATTTTCAGTATCGCTTGCATTATCATCAATAAAACCATAGATGTTCCTATATGAAAACAGTACATATGTGAGATTGATGGATAAGGTGTGAAGAAGCAGAGAAAGAGACTACTGCAGTTTCAGGTCTGTCCTAATTCTTCAATTTTAGAAGAGTGATCCGTGGAAAATTTGCTGAGGCACATGATCTCTGATCGTTGACGCATGATTACATGACAGTAAACAAACCTGTATTGACCTCTGATCTTACGAGGGGACACGTAACGGATGAAATGTATAACTTGCAGGAATAGTCTTCCAGCTATATGAAGACAAATCAAGTGTAACACAAAAAGAAAACTATCCACTCTTCACACTTTGCGAGTTTATGCGAATTGGTAACATCAAGGTACAGGAGTGATTCAACGTTTTATAGTTTGGTCACCAACGCAAACCTGGGAGAGAATAAGATGTCATTATAACTATAAGGACTGATAGATGAATCAGAAAGAGGAGGAAACTCATAGATATACTGGCTTAGAGATTCAAAAATCGGAGGTTCGTTTCACAATATCACGTAGCGGTCGCATCGTCCCTGCACATGATCACTGTGGTATTATTTGTTTACCTGGAGGTCACGAGCAGAGAGATGGAATAGTACCCTGCAGCACCCCGAAGAGGGGATC